GAACGCAGGGGCACCATACTCACCCACGTTGGGGCACAGGGATAATAGCATACATCATACTGCCCATGCCCTGACCTACCTGGATACTTCTGAAAGATCCTTACTCCAATTGTAGGTACAGACAAGAGTGGAGGGACTAGACTTCCTCTGACAGGGAACTGAGGGCCACGAAGGCCTTGGGAACATCCTGGGCAGTATGGTTGGTGGGGTGAGGGGGGTCCTCTTTCCAGGAGTTACCTAGGGTTGGAGTCAGGTTCTGAGGAGGGATGGACAGGACAGGGGAGGCTCAGCTGGTCATGGGGCAAGATCCTGGGACTAGCCACTAACAGACTTCTGAGGCCAGGCATTCCGCGTGCCCCGCAGAGCGGATCTTGTAACCTCTACTGGGTTTGTGAGGCCACCCGGACAGACTCATGAAGTGTTTAGGTTAGCCACCAAGGACTGGAGAGTGAGGCGAACAGTTGTCCTGGTCTTACAGACGAGGGCACATGGCACAACCTCTTAGGGGGTGAACCACGCAGAGGACTGAAGACGGAGATAACCGAGGGAGGGTGAGGAAGACTAGCTGGCACAGGCGCTCGGTTTAGACATCAGTCAAACTGAAATGTGCATTTAAAATTGGCATTTTTTTAACCTTTCAAATTGGGAAGCGTGGTGTGGGGGATGGGCCATCAGCTCCACATGACATATGGTCCACACCAGTAATTTAACAGTTCCTGCCCAACGGGCACTCTGAATTTGAGAACAGAAAGAGGTTGGAGATTTTTTTTCTTGCCTTTTTCTTTGTGTGTGTGTGTGTGTGTGTGTGTGTGTGTGTGTGTGTGTGTGTGTGTGTTTCCATGTGTGTGGACACGTGTGAGTGGACATGCACATGGATGTGGAGGCCAGAGATCCATGCCCAAAATCATCTTAATTGCTCTTCTGCCTCCTTCACTGAGGCAGGGCCTCTCAGTCAAGCCCGAAGTCTGCAGATATGGCTAGTCTTGCTGGCTGGTTTGCTCTGGGGATCTCATCTCCACCTTCTAAGGCTGGAATGTGGACTGCCACATCCACCAGGCATTTATGTGGGTTCTAGGGATCCAAATACAGGTCCTCATATTTGAACCCATGTTCGACAAGCACTTTTACCACTGAGCTGTCACCCAGGAGAGTCTTGTAGGAGGATGGGAAAGCGAATTACCAAAACAACCAGACATGCCTGTAGCAGAGAAATGGGGCACCGCATGCTGGTGACTCGATGGGATGGTCCAGTGGCCCTCGGCTACAACCCACCTCACAAGTCCCAAGTGAAACAAGCAGGTAGAACCAGCAGGTGGCAGAGACAAGGTGTGTCCTTCCTTTGTGCTTTCTTGTCTGTTTGGAAAGCTCCATAATCCAAAGGTGACAAGCATGCTTCTGAAGACTGGAGGGACGGGCATCAGTGCAGGCAGAGCACAGGGCTCAAGGGCTGTGGCCATCACATGGGGCATACTGCCTGTGCATGCCTCGGGGACTCTCTCTCCAGAGCACCACTCTCCCCAGAAGGTGGATTTACGTAAGGGGCTGTGCAGCCACAGGCTGCGTGGGATGGGGATGACTCTGCAGGAGGCTGGAGACAGGAAAGTAGAAGTGGGAAGGATGATGAGAGCTAGGTGACCAGGAGGAAGGTGTGGTTTGAAGGCAGGCTAGATAGCATCAGCCTGAGCATGAGGGTGGACAAGGGGAAGTAGAGGTGTGGCTGGAACTCAGGGCAGATAGAAAGGGACACCCAGGTGACGCGGGCCCGTTCATCACATAGCCTGGTGGGGTTCAGTCTGTCACGGGTCCCTCTGAGTACATACCAAGGAGGGAGACTGAGTCCACCAAGTCCAAGCAGACATCATGAGCACGGTAAACCATGTGGCCATGGTCTTGGTGGATGTCGTGGGCCCTGTGGCTATGGTAGACCCTCCTCTGCCAGAGTCTCATGATGTTTGGGAGCATGCTGTTGCTGAGTTCTAATGAAAGTCTGCCACGGTCTTCTCCCACCAGGGGTCAACCATTCTCAACCACCTCACAAATGAGATACAGCCCTAAAGATGGTCCAGAGGAAAAAAATTCACTACTCACAGCCAGGCCAGACCCCATAGTAAGCTGAGAGGGCAGTGTCTACTTCTTGAAGTGGACAGACACTGGGATCCTTCTCTCCCTGGACTTTAAGCACTCTGCTCGGGTTCATAAGATGGCCTGGCCCGGCTATACTCTCTGAGACAAGCATGGAGCATGGGGCTATTGGCGCATGCCCCTTCCTATGGAAGAAATAGCCCAGTTATTGCAAGATGTCCACAACAACTGATCTAGCTGGGTTAGGGATCCTGGGAGGTTAGGCGAGGAGCCCTGAGGGTCCTGAGCAAGACCCCTTTTATAACGGAGAAGACTGATAACAGAAAGGGGAATGGCGTGTAGCCTGGCAGGCTGGGAAAGGGGCAAGCCCAAGGCACAGTGTGCTCCGAGAGCAAGACATTGACCAGACTGCAAGGCCAGTGGCTGGTCAGGGCTGGGGGTACCCAAAGCCAGCCATGGTGAGGGGGCCACATCATAGCATGGGGGTTCAAGAGGCGCCCTCTCTGTGGTGTCCCAGGCTGCTCCTGCCTGAGACTCATGGTTGGCCTCCTTTGCTATGGGTGCTGATGCCCTGGGGTTTAGGGACATGACCCAGATGTGGATATGGGAGCCTTGTGTTTCCCTGTCTAGGTTGAGCAGATAGTCCCAACCGCCTACCCGATCTCCCTGGCCAGGCTCTGTCCACAGGTGACTGGGACTTGCCTGGCAGTTAGGGCGGTCTCCCCCAGTGCGTCCTCACCGCAGGAGGAAAGTGTGTGTCACGTTTTCGGTTGAGCCCCTGCTTCCTCTGGCTTCTTTCTGCAAAGTGGCTGAAAGCTAAGCACCACCCTCTTCCTCCTCCTCAGGGCTGCTTGGTGCAGGGGACAGGCCTGTCTTTCTAGGCTGGCTCTGCTGGCTCTTCAGAACTCTATTTCTAGTTGGGAGGAGGGCAGGTGCTGTGCAGCTCCCACTGCGCACTCTGGGGCTTCAGGCTCCGGTCCGTGTGGTCACGTGTTCATTCACTAGCGTGAGGGTCATGATTACTGTTATTTTGAATTTGGAAGGAGAGGGCAGCTTGCTGTGTCAGATATAGGGCAGGCCTTTAAGGTCCACAGCCTGCTCAGGGGCTCAGGGGCTCAGCAACTGGCAAGGAAGTGGGACTCCAGGTGACGTGTGGTGTGACCCTAGGTAGAGCAATACATCAGACAAGGTGGCACCCCAGATGGGTGGTGCTCGGTTGAGGTGATGTCTCCCCTCTGTACCAAAGAACTCTGACTGTGCTGATCCCAGGTAGGACTGGCTCCCTTCAGCTCTTCTCTTGAGGGCCCTGGCCCATGTAACTGTTGTCAAGATTTGGGGACTCCTGTAGTGCATCTCAATTCTCCCCCACCCTGGAACTCCAGTTTTGGGAGTAGCCAGAGAGTCTCAAATCTCTTGCCAGGCCTTGGGCACAGCAGCTAGGATGAGTGGACACACAGTACCCACCTGGGACAGCCTCTGTCACAGCACCCAGAGTTCAGGTGAGGGTCTTAGAGACCCTTGGCAGGGTCCTTGAACCATGCCTAAGACCCAGAGGGACAGACAGACACCTGTTCTGTGCCCAGCAGGTCGAGGTGTGTTGGGAACACGCAAGGAACCTGCTGAGGACATGGCCTGGCAATGGCCCTTCCTGCTCTTCCTGGCCCCGCCTCTCTTTAATGGTGCTGAGGTGTTACTTCAGACTTCTTCAGAGGTTGGTGAACTTCTGTAATCTCAGGTGAATGGTTTGAGAAGGGAACAGGGAAGCTGGGAACTGGTAGCTCCACCTGTGAAGCTGCAGGGCTTGGTGTGGATGTCTGTGGGCTCAGCTTCACTTGGACTGGCTTCTAGAGAATTCCAGTGGCCACTCCTGAAGGCCCAATGTACTTTGGACAGATACTGTGGTTATCTGCCTGACTAAGGGGCAGCCGTGGTCTGTGTTGTGGGAACAGGTGGGATGAATCCAGTGAGGAATTCCTCGAGGCCCAGCCCCTGCCCTCCATCTGCAGGTCTGTGGAACACATGGGTCTTGACAGGTCTGAGTTGTCTCTCGGGCTTTTCTGGATGAGGCTTCCCCAACACTGGCGATGCACTGAGAGCCTCCTTTCGAAACCTCTTCACCTAGGTGACACAGAGCCCGTTCAGAAGCACCCCTGCCAGTCAGAGAAGGATCCACTGGATTCCCCAGTCCACAGCTCCATGCACTGATGGTATTTCCCTCAGAGGGTCCGGGAGGGGTCCTTGTCCCCTTCACCCTGGTGATGTGCTTGAATATAGCTTTTGGGTCACACATACTTAACTTTTTGGGTCATTATTTAATCAGAAAAAAAAAATTCCCTTAGGAAGAATTTTAGCAAGTTAAAAGTTAAATTTTCTTAAGGTTGTTGGAAACTGACTGCAAAATTGGGCTGTGAAATATTTGTACCCACCAACAATCCCATCATAGAGCTTCAGGGCACCATGTCTCCAGTCTCCAGAACACCGACTTAGTTATTTTTGCCAACCTGACAGGAAGAAAAGACAAAACAAAAACAAGAACCCCCTTCCTCGTGCTTATTTTTGTATTTCTTGGCCTTTGGGGAGCTTTTCTTAACTCTTCTGTGGACGCTCATGTGCCTTCCAGCTTTGCCAACTATGACAAACAACAATTTTAACTATGGTACCCGGGGTGATGCACTGATGCTCATTGGCTTCCCTGGTGCCCGGCTCTCTCCTGGGTTACCTTTCGTTGCTTGTGGGATGCTCTAGCATCTTTGTTGAATGAGTTCGCCTGCGTGCTTTCATCTGAAGTGCTGGGGTTACAGGCACGCAGCACCATGCCTGGCTGGCTGGCGGGGTGGTTTCTTGTTGTTGTTGTTGTTGTTGTTTTGCATTTTTACCCAAATCCTTCTCAACTTGCCCTTTCTCCAGGCCCCTTGAAGCTGCTGCCAGAGCCGCCTTCACAAGGGGCACAAAGCCCGCATCGGAGCTGCCATGAGAACAGAGCCCACCCATGCAGCAGGTGAGAAAGTCTCCTTTGACTCTGACACGTAAGAAGGCCGCAGGAATTCCTCTGTGGTATACCTGGTCTCACCATTCAAAAATCAACATGCAGCCGGGCAGTGGTGGCACGCACAACTAATCCCAGCACTCGGGAGGCAGAGGCAGGCGGATCTCTGTGAGTTCAAGGCCAGCCTGGTTTACAGAGCGAGATCCAGGGCAGGCACCAAAACTACACAGAGAAACCCTGTCTCGAAAAACCAGAAAAAAAAAATCAATGTGCAGACTTATATACTGAAAAACAGACTCAGAAATGTTCCATCAAGAACTCAAGCAGGGCAGTGGTGGCGCACGCCTTTAATCCCAGCACTCAGGAGGCAGAGGCAGGTGGGTCTCCAAATTCGAGGCCAGCTTGGTCTACAGAACTAGTTCTAGGACAGCCAGGGCTACACAGAAAAACCCTGTCCTGAAAAACAAAAACCAAAACACCAACAAAACAAACTCAAGACGCAATGGGCTGGGGATGCGGCTCCGCTGGGTAGAGTGCCTGTTGAACAGGCATGAGGCTGTGGGTTCAAGCTCCACCATCACATAAACCCATGTGTGGTAAGTGGTGCAAGCTAAATAGTGCATGTGAGCCCAGCCTAGTCAGTCAGTTCATCAGTGAATCATTCAATAAATAGGGCTCAAGACACACCCACTTCATAAGTGCTAGGAAAAGCCAGGTACAGGAGTGAGGGGACATTTGGTACTCTGAATGTCTACTTCCTATGAGAGTGACCAGTGGTGAGTCATGAGCCATCTGGTAGCCCAAGAGAGCCGTCAGGAGGTCCCAGGAAGCAGCTGACCAGGAGCTTCCCATGGCCTTCTCATCCTTCTTTCCACTCCAGAGGCTCCTCCTACTCCAGGTCTGTTTACCAAGGTCACCTGCAGGGGTGTGGGGTTGTGAGGGCCACAATCATGCTCAGATGGTCTATGTGACAGGACCTAGTGTCCATAGAGAAGACCTGAAGGCTTCGGTGGGCCTGATCAGGTGGCAAGGGACAGAGAGAGCCACACCAGGGCATCTGTGGCTGGACTGTGTGGTATTGTGAAACGCCAGGGCCCAGGTTGGTCCCAGATTGTGTTTATTGTAGTTTTCAGTAAGACTGTGTGGGTAGGGGTGGAGGACAGAGATGGAGTGTCTGAACTGGGATCAAGCGGTGAACTGGAGACAGGACAGAAGGACAGAGGGGTGACTGAACCAGGGAGTGGACAGACTCCCATGTGTGGCTGAGGGTGCTTTGCTTTCACAGTGGTAAGGGAGCTGTCCAGGTGAGGAGTCGTCTAAAGACCTGTAGCTGCCCGTGGCTCAGTCCTCACCCTCACTGCCTGCTGGTTCTGATGCCAAGATTTGACACTGGGGTCCAGGGCAGCTCACCACCTCTGGAACCTCAGTCTCAGTTTCTCTATCCAGATGTGATAACAGCATGCCTTGGGTGGTGAGTAAGGGCACCCGGATTGTGAGAGGACTGCATCTCACAGCCACTGTCAAAAAGGAATTAGAAGAAGAAGACAGATGTTGGCTAGCCCTGAGCGTTGTGGGTGGGGACGTAAAACAGAGCAGACACTATGGGAAGTAGCCCAGGGTTCCTCAAGAGAAAACACGGAGTGGCCACGTGACCTAAGTAAGCTTGCCTTTGTGCATACCCAAAAAGGAGACAGCAGGGACAGAAGTCAGAGTACACCCGTGTTCACAGAAGCATTATTCATAATAGCCCAGGGGTGGCAAGCAGCCTAGGGTCCATGGACACATGACGGATAGTGGAGTGTATGTGCACTGTGGAATGTCATCCTGCATGGAGTGTCTTGATGGGGTGCTATTCTGTCTTAAAAAGAAGAGATGTTCTGACATACCCTACAAGGTGGATGAACCGTGAGGACACTACGCTCAGTAGAGTAAATCTGCACTAATGAAGACTCTATTTGTGTGAGCCCCTCTACAGAGTTAGGGAGAATGGGGGAAAAGGGAACTGGGGATGGGAGTATCAGTGTTTCTAGAAAAGCTTTGGTCTGCAGACTGAGAAGTGTCTAGAGGTGGGTAGTGGCTGGGTTCAGCACTGTGGATGTACTTAGTGATAGTGAACTGCATGCCGGGCAATGCCTCAGATGGAATGTTTTGTACTATGTGCATTTCATCAGAATTTTTAAAAAGCAAGCCTGGAAAATACATGAGTTGAATAAGAAGGTATCAGGCTCTGTGTCTGGGGACAAGCCACCTTCTTGACAAGGAGCCCTCACCTGAGGGACAGTACAGTTCTCAGCTGACATCTGTGACCACTGTGACATCTCATATGACCATTCATATGGCCAAAGTTGCCCTTATGGAATCTGTCCAGGCTGAGGATGATGACGTGGGCAGCTGAGGTCACAGGGAGTCTGCGACAGCTGGCCAGAACACCCAGAGCCACGCCAGCATGTGGGACACATTATTTCTCTGGACAGTTGGATGTCCATGTAGAGGTCAAGGGATTAACGGGCCCTGAATTCCTGTGGGAGGCCAAGCAACAGATATCAACCTGGGACCAGAAGACAGTGTCCCTGAGGCCCTTGAATCAGAGCCAGGGCATGGCTGAGGGTTTTGCCACCAGATGGCCACTGTGGCCAGAGAAAGAACCACAGCAGTCAAGGCCTGGGGCTGATGCCTGTGCTAGCCAGTCTCTGGTCCCACTGGCTCCCTCCAGCTGGAGTCCTTTTGAACTCCTGACGTGTCTAGTCTGGAGTCTATGGAGCTTCTATTTTATTTAAAATGTTTATTTATTATTTGTGTGTGCGTTTGTGTGCGTGTGCGTGCGTGCGTGCGTGCGTGTGTGTGTGTGTGTGTTTGCCACAGTGCACATGTGAAAGTCAGAGAACAACTTCCAGGAGTTGGTCCTCTCCTTCTCCTGTGGGATCCTGGGATCAAGCTCAGGTCACCAGGCCTGGCAGCAGGTGCGTTTTACCTGCCGAGTCAGCTCTCCACTCCCGCCGCCACCGAGTGTCTTAACTTTTTCTTGGTATGATGAATCTCCCTGGGGGTTTCCCTAGACTCCCATCCACCTTGCCATTTCTGTCTCACAGGAAACACCACGCTGGGGTCCTCTGAGACCTGCCACACACCCTATGAGGAGAGCAGAGTGGTCCTGATGGTGGTGTACAGCGCAGTGTGCATGCTGGGCCTGCCAGCCAACTGCCTCACGGCATGGTTGACACTGCTGCAGGTGCTGCAGAGAAACGTGCTAGCAGTCTACCTGTTCTGCCTGTCACTCTGCGAGCTGCTCTATATTAGCACGCTGCCGCTTTGGATCATCTACATCCGGAACCAGCACAACTGGAGCTTGGGTCCGCAGGCCTGCAAAGTGACGGCTTACATCTTCTTCTGCAACATCTATATCAGCATCCTCTTGCTGTGCTGCATTTCCTGCGACCGCTACCTGGCAGTGGTCTATGCACTGGAGAGCCGAGGCCACCGCCACCAGAAGACGGCCATCTTCATTTCTGCCGGCGTGTTTGCTCTTGTTGGACTGGTGAACTACCCGGTGTTTAACTTACCGATGGAGAAGAGCTCCTGCTTTGAGCCCCTGAGGGTGAACGCTACCATAGCCACCTACCACTACCTGCGGTTTACCTTTGGCTTTGCCGTCCCTCTTGTCACTCTAGCGTTCACCAACTACCGAGTTTTCAGGAGCATCAAGCTGAGCACGAGCCTGAGCGCGGCCCAGAAGGCTAAGGTGAAGTACGTCGCCATCGCGGTCGTCACCATCTTCCTGGTCTGCTTTGCCCCCTACCACCTGGTGCTCCTCGTCAAGGCTGTCAGCTTTTCCTTCTTCAGAGGAGCCATGGATGCTGTGTGTGCCTTTGAAGGCAGACTGTACACCGTCTCCGTGGTGTTCCTGTGCCTGTCCACAGTTAATAGTGTGGCCGACCCCATCATCTATGTGCTAACGACAGACCATTCTCGACAAGAAGTGTCCAGAATCCACACGGGGTGGAAAAAGTGGTCCACAAAGACGGAGGTTATATACTTAAAGGACTCAGAGGAGACACGCTCACCCACAGCGCTTGCACACACCTACACCTTCCCCAAGCCTGTGCATCCTCCAGGGTCACAGCCGGCTGAGCCGGGTTTACAGTGCTCCCCAGAAAGACTGCCTGAGGAATTCTGCTAAGCCCATTATGCCTCAGGGGAGGATGCTAAGCCTCGAAACCAGCACCAGTCACATATTCCTGGTCCTTTGAGCCACCATCTGGAGTGTCCACCACATGGTAGATGCCTTTCTGGAAGATACACTGCTGATCTTTCCTTCCTAAGGCCACTCAACTCTGTAGATATCTACTCCTTGGATGTCCAGAACCTCCAGGCTCTCCTATGTGGAAAGCAGCCGTGTTTTGAGAGCACCTTAGGCTGCCAGGGACTCAGGCAGGATGTGGCTGGAAGGAGAGCCATCGGCAGGGCACTTTGCAGAGCACTGGATGACGACTTTATTTCCTATGCTTTCCTGCATTGTCCAGTGGCTACTGCAGTATATATTGGGGCTTTCCACAGAGGTAGACATGACCTGCATCTAAGGTTATCAATATGCTGCCTAGGGGCTGTGACACAGCCAAAGAGCCATGGGGGATAGGAGTCCAACCCCGAGGACTCCCAGTGGGGCTTGTTCTGCGTAGACATAATTGTCTTCTAGGGGAGCCATGGGGCATGGTGGCCAGTTGCTCCAGCTCCTGGTAGCCCCATATATCCTCCCTAGGGAACCCTCTACCATTTACTTTAGGAAATGCTAGTGGACACCCCAGAAAGAGGTTGGCATAGCTGCTAGCAAATAAGGGGGCATCTGGCATCTGGCATCTGGCATGCCTTTCTGTGCCTTGCGACTTCTGGCCTTGGCGTCGCAGGGGAAGTAGGCTGGGACTCCAGAAAGGGCAAGTCAGGAGCAAGCCTCTCTGCCCCGTTTTCTCCAGCGTTGGATCAGAGACAAAGACCTCAGGGCTCTGAGTCAAATCCCAGCTACTCCTTAAGAGCCTTGTCTCAGCCCAGTCATACGCATACTTTTGTTAGCTACCTCACCGGGTCACTCACCATTGGGGCTGACCACCCTCTTCCCCAAGAGACTCCCAACATACTTGGAGTACAAGGGCTATAGGCAGCGAGCTTAGCGGGCTTTGGAGCCGATGCCGCTGAAGCGCGCACGCCCCACAGGGGTTGTTCAGAGATGGTGATAAGTGACATCCGAGGTTACCTTTTGTTCTTCATTGTAAGAAGTACTGAGAAAACCTGAGAATAAAAACACAAAAACAGACGTTGATCCTAGCCTCCTTTTGTTATTGTTGCTTATCTTTTATGTCTTTGAGACAGGGTTTCCTGCGGCTCACTACCAGAGGATGAGCTGGGACTCCTGATCCTCCTCTGTCACCTCCCAAGGGCTGGGATCACAAGCACCAGCTCCTAACTTCCTCTTTTGTGGTTTTTTTTTTTTGTTTGCTTGTGTGTGTGTGTGTGTGTGTGTGTGTGTGTGTGTGTGTGTGTGTGTGTGTGTGTGAGACATGTATGGAGGCCAAAGGTTAACACCTGATGTCATCCTCCATTGCTCTCCACTGTATTTATTGAGACAGGGTCTCACACTGAACCCAGAGCTCACCAATTTGGCTAGACTAGTCAGCCTATTTGCTCCCGGAATCCCTATCTCTGCTTGGCAAGCAGAAAGGCAGTCCAGGCAGGCCACCATGCATGTCCTCGTGCCTCAGCTTTTTGCTTTTGTTTTTTTTTCTCTGTGTAACAGCCCTGGCTGTCCTGGAACTGTCCCTGTAGACCAGGCTGGCCTCAAACTCACAGAGATCCACCTTCTTCTGCCTCCCAAGTGCTGGGGTAAAAGGCGTGCGCCACCACACCCAGTCCCCGTCTCCGCTTTTTTTTTTTTTTTTTTTTTTTTTTATCAGTAACAATAACTTTATTTTCTAACAGGCAATTTTCCTACTGCTTCAGTATTTTCCTCTCAGAAAACACAAGTTTTAGAACTGGATCACTTGGCCCTTTCTCTTCTTGTCTCCTCCCAGTTCAAAATGCTTGCACCTCTTAATGGCCAGCATCCTCTTGGATCTGCAGTTGGGCTCGACACACTCAAGCCTGAGCACAATCTTCTTTGTGGTTTTGGCCTTCTTTCGGAAAATTGGCTTTGTCTGTCCACCGTAACCACTCTGCTTCCGATCATAGCGCCGCTTTCCTTGGGCGTACAGGGAATCCTTGCCCTTCTTATACTGGGTCACTTTGTGAGGCTGATGCTTGCCACATTTCTTACAGAAAGTCCTCCGGGTTTTAGGTACGTTGACCATCTTTGCAGTAGAGGTGTCTATTCGATGAAAACGAGAGACCCGGGTCCGAGATCGCCGCTTCAACCACACGAGCCGCACAGGAAAGGGCCCGTCTCCGCTTTTATGTGGGTGCTGGGGTCCCAACTCTGGTCCTCATTTGTGAAGCAAACACTTTTTGAGCTGACCCATATTCCCAGCCTCTCTATTTCCTTTTGTTTGTTTGTTTTAAGGCAGGGTTTCTCTGTGTAGTTTTGGTGCCTGTCCTGGATTTCGCTCTGTAGATCAGGCTGGCCTCGAACTCACAGAGATCCACCTGGCTCTGCCTGCCGAGTGCTGGGATTAAAGGTATGTGCCACCACCACCTGGCCTATTTCCTTTTTAAAATAAGACATTTTTACCTCTCTAGGTAGACATTTTTTCCTGTTGGAGGGCCAAACCTAGGACTGGAAGATGAACCCTTGGAATATGGGGACCTGGATCAAGGACTCTAAGTGTATTCCAGCAGTGGTGAAGGGCAGGCAGATGGAGCAGGCTTTGGGGCCTCATGGTTTTGTATTGCCCTTAGCAAAGTGAAACTGAACAGTCTCTCATTCCCATAGCCATCCACAAAGGAGAGCATGGCGAGGGACGGACACCCTGTTTTCTCTAAAGCACTAATCTGACCCCACTCTGGGCTGGGGCCTCCTCCATCCTTCCTCCACAGGCCCCAGGTGCCCTTTCTGGCAGCTTCTACCTGCCTTAGCCCCTCTCCTCCCTTCAGCCTTAGGGCTCTGACATCACCCCTGGGCCAGCATCCCCTCCAGCACTCCAGAAAAACAGTATCGTTGGAATCCTGCACGTTCCATATGGGCTGGCCTGGGCAGGCTCTGTGGGAAGGCAGGTGACCAGAGGTGATTCCCGGGTGGCTCCCACCCTTGTGGTCTTCTTCATCTTGACCCTGATCAGGAAAATACGCACAGTGGGGAGGGGCTAAACCAGGAAACGCCAATGGAGTTTATTTTACTTCTAAGGAAAGCACATGTTCTTGAAAGACTAAGAAGACAAAAGATGGCCAGGTGGTGGTGGCGCACGCCTTTGATCCCAGCACTCAGGAGGCAGAGGGAAGCGGACCTCTGTGAGTTCAAGGCCAGCCTGGACTACAGAGCGAGATCCAGGACAGGCTCCAAAACTACACAGAGAAACCCTGTCTCGAACCACCCCCCCCAATAAATAAATAAATAAATAAATAAACAAATAAATAAATAAATAAAAATAAATAAATAAAAGACAAAAGAGTCCAGAGAATGTTCCCACTGGAGACACCATGGCTACCGACCGTGTGGGTGTTTGCCGTACATTCCACCGAAGGGATTTCCCAGTAGATCCACGGCTGCCTGTTCAACCAGGGTGGGAATCCCCACTTTTGTATGAGTGAGCACATGTGTGAGTGACTGAATACAGACATTTTAATTTTTTTACCACTGAGCTAAATCCCCAGCTGGGAATCCCCACTTTGCTGGGTTATCAGGGAAGTAGCTAAAGTCAACAGGGAGGGAGGCTGGAGACAGACAGAGGGTGGGGCCCAGAGGGCAGCCTGAAGGGGCCTGGAGTGGGTGTGTCTCTGGAGGTTCCTATGAGGGGTGTGTGGGGCAGGCAGGGGAAGTTAGAAAATGGGTGCTTGAGGAGACCCAGATGGACCTGGGCAGCCTGGACACGGGAGCTCTCTACACACCAACCAGCTTGGGCCTCCCCAGCTTGGAGACAAGAGCGTAGACCCTGCAGGAAGGGTGGTGCTTACCCAAGGGGGCAGTAGCCGGCGGAACCTCCCACCTTCCAAGGGCCTGGTCCATCCAGGAATGTACCAGGCTGCAAGCCAAGCGCCTGTTGCATGCTAAGCTGTGAAGTGCCTGGTCCTGCTGGTGTGTGGAGGGGCTGGTGGGGAGTGTGAGCTCAGCCCATTCACCTGCCTCTTGTCTATTGTTCTTCCCCCTCATGTTAGCAAAGATCAAGTCAGCGTCTTGTCATCACTGACCACAAACTTTCAAACACCTTCATCTGGTCGTGGAAACTTCCGGAGTTAGCTCGGGGTTATTAAGAGCCTAGTGAGTGGGTCAGATACTCACTTCCGCCATCCCTCCTCTGCATTCATTGCTCACTCCTCACCTACTCAGCTACTCCCTCACTCATTCACTCCTCACTCACCACAAACACACTCATTCACTTACTCACTCACTCATTGATTCACTTACTCCGTCCCTCTTTCCTTTCTCACAAACCATACTCTCTCCCCATTCCTCCCTCTCTGGCTAACTCTCTCCCTGTTCCTCACTCCCTCTATCTCTTGCACACTGCTGCTCTCCCTTCTCCCCTTCCCTCCTTCCTCTTTGGTCCGTCGTCCACTCCACAAAGTGCCGCTGCAGTCCAGTAGTGAGGGAGGCGGGACGTGGTGAAGCTCATCATGCCGTCCTGGGGTCACGCAGGAGGGGTGGACAATGGGGAGTACCTTAGGGTTGCTGAAACAAAACACCATGACCAAGAGGAACTTGGGGAGGAAAGGGTTTGTTTCAGCTTACGTGTCTTGATCACCGTCTATCATGAAGGGAAGTCGGGGCAGGAACCGAGAGGTAGAACCTAAAGCAGAGGCCATGGAGAAATGCTGCTTACTGGTTTGCTCTACCTGATTTGTTCAGCTTCTTCCTTCCTTCCTTCCTTCCTTCCTTCCTTCCTTCCTTCCTTCCTTCCTTTATTCATTCATTCACTGGTTTGTTTGTTTATTCATTTACTGTTTTTTCCAGACAGGGTTTTCTATGTAGCCTTGACTGTCCTGAAACTTGCTTTGTAAACCAGGCTGGCCTTGAACTCGGATCCACCTGCCTCCACCTCCCAAGTGCTGGGATTAAAGACATGCAGCATCATGCCTGGCAACTCCTTAGGGTCAGTACACAGAAGCTGTGGTCCACAGGGGGCCTCACTTACGTTGTGCTGGCAGCAGAATTTGGTAATGTGTAAGTTTCCCAGGTGGTACTGGTTTTGAAGACATGAGAGGTCATGGAGAGCAGCTGAGGTTGGCACTGTGTGGCACTGTGTATCGGGGCTAGAATCCCTGAAGAGAGGCCTGGAGAGGCTGTTGGTGAAGATGCAGGCCAGGGGCAGAAGAAACTCCATTTGGGAGACGCCAGCACCAAGGGATGACCTCTAGGGGAAGGTGCAGATGTGTGTACTGGAGCTGGCTTGAGCCTAGGAGATTTGTGTCCTGTGGCAAACCCTTTGGAGCCTAAAATACTGTGAGTCTCAGAAGTCTGGTGCTGATCTTGATGCTGTTGGACTTTGGGTCTGTTTTTATTTGAATGTAACTGTTTCCTGTTTTTTACCTTCTTTGAGTAAGAAAGTGTGTAGCTGCTGCTGCTTCTTCTTCTTCTTCTTCTTCTTCTTCTTCTTCTTCTTCTTCTTCTTCTTCCTCTTCTTCTTCTTCTTCTTCTTCTTCTTCTTCTCCTCCTCCTCCTCCTCCTCCTCCTCCTCCTCCTCCTCCTCCTCCTTCTCCTCCTCCTGCTCATTATCATCATTACCATCATTATCATCATCATCATCATCATCTTGAGACAGGTTTTCTCTGTGTAGCCCTGGCTGTCCTGGAACTCACTATGTAGACCAGGATGACCTTGAACTCTGAGATCTGCTGGCCCTGCCTCCGGAGCACAAGGACCAAAGGCATGTGCTATCATGCCTAGCTATTTAACTTATTTTTATTTTACAGGAGCCCACAGTTGAGAGACTTTGAACTTTTAAAGAAACTTTGGAATTTTACAGATACTTTGGAGTTTTAGAGAAACTATGGATATTCTAGAGAGGATTAAACTTTGAGAGGGATTTTGGCTGTTTTAAAGAGACTGAGCTTTTAAAGACTGTAGGGTTTTTAAAGTTATTTGTGCTTTATATTACTATATAATATTAACATGCCATCTTGAGGATAAATGAGAAAGGAAAGGTTCTAGTTGAATAGTGATGTGTCTGTGTATCAAACTGACAATTGTGCTGGCCAGTTTTATGTCAACTGGATACAAACTAGGACCATTTTGGAAGAGGGAACCTCAGTTGAGAAAATTCCCCCACCAGATTTGCCTGTGGATAAGCCTGGGTGCATTTTCTTGATTGGCGATTGATGTGGGGAGGCCCAGCTTACTGTGGGCAGTGCCACCCCTGGGTTGGTGGTCTTGGATGCTATTGAGAAAGTAGGTTGAGCAAACCATGAGGAGCAAGCCAGTAGGCAGTACTCCTCCACGGTCTTCCTGTCAGTTCCTGTCTCCAGTTTCCTGCCTTCAGGTTCCTGTCCTGATTTTCCTTGATGATTGACTACAAGCTGTAAGACGAAATAAAGCTTTTCCTTCCCGAGTTGCTTTTGGTCTTGCAGCCTTATCAAAGCAATAGAAACCCTAAGCTACCAGTCCTGCCGGGGCCACCAGGGGGCAGCATCACCAAGCCAGAGCAGGCCAATGCCTTTCCTTTCTGTGACACACCCTTTCAAACATTTTCTAAACAGCTACCTGCCTGGAGTCTTGTTTTACATATACTTTTTTTTTTCTGAATGTAAATTTATTATTTGATTTCTCCTCTTCCTCCCCTCCCCCTCCTCCTCCTCCCCTTCCTCCTCCTCCTTCTTTCTTCGTCTTCTGCCTTAGCACAGCATGAAACTTCTTGAGTTTCACTTTGTTCGAGATAAGTTCTCTTGTTTTCCACCGCATACACCAGGCTAGCGGGCCAAAGTGCTTCTGGAAAATCTCCCTGTCAGCCCTCCATCCTGGCATGGGAGCATTGAGATCACAGACACCCTGCTGCATATGGTTTTACATGGTTCTGGGGATTCAAACACAGGTCCTCACACTTGTACATAAGTATTCTACCCATAGATTCATCTCCCAAGTCCCTAAAACTCAGTAGTAACTATATATATATATATATATATATATATATATATATATATATATATATATATATATGCAGATCCTGTGTGGAAATTCTCTGCTGGATATGACGCTAAGGATTAGATCAGAGGGCTGAAAACCTTCATCTCCCAGAACGTGCCTTTCTGCACTGGTACTGATTCCATGCTCCT